TATCTATCTATCTATCTATCTATCTATCTATCTATCTATCTATCTATGACAGGATATCTATAGATAATTGAATAATGTCTGTATGTGGGTTGGTGGTTGGTTGAAAGAAAGAGCAGCAGAGATATGGGAGCCAAAGCTGAAATAAGGTCACTGTTATAGTTCTATTGGAAGGCCTGATGGAGGTTCTGCTATGTTCTCATTTTGCCCAGCACTTCTTTATCTCATTCCTCTATGTGTGTGTGTGTGTGTGTGTGTGTGTGTGTGTGTGTGTGTGTGTGTGTGTGTCTCGACCACTTCTTTCATGACAGGGGTGGCCCTCTGGGGATGCTGTTCTCCACAAAGACACTAATGTGAAGTGACAGGACAGCCAGTGGTGTGCAGCTTGGAGAGGACCCGCATTGTAGAGGAGACCCAAGAGTCTGGCTCATGGTGGACAACAATAGAAAAAAGACCTCAAAAGGACAGGGTCTTTTTTTCTCTCTTTGTAAGCCTGTGGCTGTCACTTTGAGGCCCCGCTCGGTCTTTTTTCTCACACATTTCGGCCCTAAAACACACTAGTGAAAACTCCTTGCGGTCACATTCAAGAGAAGTTGGTGTCAAACACACAGATTGTTATTTCTGATCCTGAAATATGACAGAAAACCAATTTCGTCCCTTCACTAATCTGTGGAAGGCCAATACCTCAAAAGCCTCACGGCCCAACATCCTTTTTACTTAGAACAAAGATCGTCATGACATTATTCAGGATGGAACATGCAGAACTTGTGGGGTAAGAGCTTTGAGTAATAGAAATATCAGGAGTCTGTATGTGTATTTATCAATACTGAGTTTGCTACATGGCTGGAAATTACACTCACCAATGGCCATCCAGCACGCGCTTAAATGCTTTCTTTATTTAGGACCATGCTCATAAAACTTTGATAGTGAACACGTGCCTGTCGAAGCTTAGCCTGGTCTGATTCTACTCCTTCATTTTGCATTGGTAGAAGTTTCAACCTCGACAAATATGAAGCACATACCCTATTATGATGATCATGTCAGTCATTTCTCAAAAGATTGTGCTTTAGTGAGGAAACATCAGCATCGTTTTGAGCAGTCTGTGCTACTCCGGCTGTGGCCGCTAGGGGGCCCTCTCTGTGAGGTCAGCTTTGATTGAACGGTGCCGTGGCGGCTGCGTCAAGGCAGACGCACGACAGAGAACACAGGAATTCACTTCCGTTTATTTCAGAATAAAAACAACTCTTTCGGTTGGTGGACATGTGTGAAACACCCGTGAGTGGATATGTACGGGTACGGGACCTGTGTCCACGCTGCTCCACTCCCACGGCTGACTGAGACAGTTTAGACTAGGACCGAGCCTTTGTCTGCTGTCTGTAGCTGTGAGTAATCACCACCACTGAAGCCACATCCCTGCAAAAAATTCAGAATGAATCCAGTATGAAGGGAGAAAAACTACTATCAACAATTTCTCGTGTCAGGAAACTGGAACCAATCAAAGGACCTATTTTGATTGTATCTCTCTGTTCTGTTATTGACTTTGCAAATACAACATTTCTCATATGAGGGCAGACATTATGTGCAGATAAAAGAGCTTGATGTTTTTTTATATAGTTTTTGACCAGTAACAGTAATTATCTACAACATACAAATACATTAGTGATCTTAAATGCATTTTAGAATACTATTAACAAAGCAAGAGGGTTGGATAAAAATAATGATCCAGTTTTTACTTCTTTTGAAATACTGCCTCAGAATTCTAATCCAAATAAAAACTCAAATAAATAATTCCACCAACATGTCATAAATGGTCTTCAACAGGTTTTTATTGGCTCTTTAGTTCACTTTCAGTTGTATTTAGACATAGCCTATCTTAGAAATACTGTATTACTTGCTGCCTCTCAAATTCAAGGAAAGACATTTTATTTCAAATGCATCATTGAGTTTTTATATATTGATAACATGGAGGTATGTAAACTGTTATTGTTGACTTTATGTCCCTTAATTTGGACTAAAATTAGCCAAACATCTACATCTAAATCTACCACCTAATATCTAAGTCTAAAATCTGAATACCAATTTTAAAAAAGAAGGCATGAATATTCTTTTCATGAATGTTTGACACGTGCGTAATGCGTCAACGTGTCCTGTTGGGCACCGACGAACTAAACCCTGCACAGGTTGTGCTTAATTCTGAAAGCATTCGCCGGAAATTAAATGGTCTGCTACGTCAGCCTCGACGACGATTTGGTCACACGGGGCTGCTTTACCAAGAGCTGATGGAGCTAGATGAAAAAGGCAGGAGGCGAGCCCCTCCGGTTGCGCGTCAGCATCCCCTCAAATAGAAAATCCGCTTCTGTCACTTCTGCTCTGCACACTGGGAGACGGACCACTGCAACCCCGAAACTACACTTACAGGCAAATCCCACCTGCATTCTGCGATTCCTTTTCTTTTTTGTTCAAGTGATGCCAAAGAAGAGGAGTAAGGGGAGGCTGTGAGGGGTCTGGAGCGTAACGGAGAATGATAGAGAGGATCAAGGCGCGCTGTCCCAGGAGAACTCATCTGCCGCGCTGGCCGTGAGACACCGGGATGCTGCTCTAACAGCCCGGGGCCGCGTGAGTAAACGCCATCCGATCCCTGCCTCTTTCATCCTCCTGACACTTTGTCGACATCTGGGCAGTTTTTGACAGCTCCGAATGCTCCCTCCTCCTCCTCATCGCCATTTAATTAAGCGCGCTACCTCGATCCCACCTGTCTGCTCAATCATTCATAGGATTCTTAGAAAAGTGCAACACAACCAGTGGGTCCGCGGTGGGAGAAAAGTGGCCGTGAGGATTTTGACAAATGGATGGTTTTCAGTTTGCATTCACCGGTGAATGGCACTAACGCGTGGCATGCACCGTGCAGCGCATTCCCGCGGATGGTTCGCGTGATCGATCGTGTCTCTTTAAAGTTTTGATTAGAGTGAGCACTTGTTTCACGCAGAGGTCATAGTGGCTAATTAAAAAGACCTTTTGTCAGGGGGCTTTCCTATCACAGGAGTTCACCGTTAATCCACTGATGGCCCACAGGGCGTGGGTTGGTGTAGGGATGATAAGAGGGAGGCACCAGTCAAGTGTACACACTTGGGCGTGTTAATTATGGAATCAGAGCTAACTGACTCAGTTCTTAAGGAGCACAGGAGTAGATGCAAACAGACATCATTCTTTTAAATGAACTTATTTATCGTGATTCATCAGTGGGATTGAGCATGGTTAGTTTATAAATCAGATGAAAAATTATTCACCTTAACAGATATTCCAGTGCAACGTTTTGCTGTCACCATTGGCATGAGGCGGCCATAGGCTGCACGGTGCTTATACGATTCGGTCTGTGATGGTTTTTCTCACCTGGAATAGGCTACAGAGTGGAGCACATGCTGTACTGCTACATGTGTGGGTGTGAGTGGAACTTCCACATCAGGCCCAGCGCATGCAGATGAATGAAATCCACTTACAATGCAGCTCGGGTCCCCATCTCCTGCGTGAATGTGTGTGTGAGGTTCACCTCATTACACTCA